TCCCAAGCTTCTGGATCGCATTGCAGGGCTGGTAGAATCCACTAGGATTTGGGCACTGGGGGACATAAACCTCCATGCCCCAAGGATGAGATCTGGATGGTCTTGGGAATTCATGGCCTCCAAGGTGATCATGGCATTATCCCAAGAGATGGTAAGCCTAACCTATATAGGTAGCCACATGCTGGACTGGTGTTAATCTAGAAGCAGATGCAACATGATCTTAAGTTGAAGGACATTATCAGATCACTTTTTGTTTCACATGCAGTTTGTCAGCACACTAGAGCTGTGCCAGACAGGCACCTGATGGACTCGTTTTTCTGAGGGAGCTTGGGTAATTTCACAACAATCATGTGAACATCTTGCAGATCTCTGAATGCAGAGGCAGCAAAAATATTGGGCAAGAGTGTCCCATGTAGCCTCTTCCCCCTTGCAGATCCCAGCAGGTTCTCTGATTTATTGAAGAGCTGTTGGAAATGAAGCAAGTAAAGAGATACCTAGGATGGTGGTCAAGGAAAACAAAGAGTGAAATGTGACCAAATATGGCTGAGTATCCATGTTTGGGAGTATACCATGGCAGTAAAAATGTGAAGTTTGTACAGCTCTCTGTGTTTATTGCATCTGCAGACTTGCATCCAACAAATCTTTTCAAGATTACGTGCTCTTTTGGAGAGGGATGAGGGTGAAGACCCCCTGCAGACTGCTGTGCCATACTTGTAAAGTACTTTGCAGATAAAATTGCTCACATATGCTCCAAGTTGGTGACTCAGGCAAAGTCTCAAGACACTATCTGGGGCTCTTTTGAGATTGTGAAGACCAAGGTTGTGGATAAGACCCTCTATGGCATAAACTCTGCCACCTGTAAGCTAGATTCATGCCAAGCAGCTAAACAGTATACGTGGTTGGATTTAAAAAGGGTTGGTGCCATCTGCTTTAAAGAAGATGGTGGCGGACTCACTTATAAAAAGACTGTGACTAAATCTAGTTACCTTGGATGTCTACAGACCAATCTGTAACTCTCTTTTTGGAGAGGGTGGTGGTAGTTGGAGTGAGGTATCATCAGTATGCTTATGGTATTTAGCTGTACATCACTACGTTGAGGCTGAATTTGGGATATTATGGAAGTTTTGACTTCATTCATGGAGCCTGGATGGGTCAAAACCAGCTCAGATTAAATCTCTGCAAAGACAAGAACTGGTATTCATTTGGTGATAGAACTGACTCAATCCCTGTTCCAGTCTTGGGTCTGAATGTGGACCATACTTTCCCTAAAGAAGCAGGTCTATGATTCGGATGCCCTGTTAGACTCACAGTCTTGCTTTGACTGGCATATCCATTTAGGGACTTTTCAGAATGGGAGGCCCAGGGAACAATTGCCTATGCCCTTACACCTCTAAAATAGACCACTGCAATATGTTCTACATAGGGCTGCCTTTGGAGACTATTTGGAAACCAGAGTCAACTCCTGAGTACTGTAATTACAGGATCATCTGTTCTGAAAAAATTACCCCCCCACCCCCTGCATTATTTTAGGGAATGAATGTCAAGGATCCCTACCCCAGTTGAATGGAGGTGGGGGCTTTACAACATGTCTTCATACACTAATGGTGACAGGACTGCCTTTAGCTAATTAGCAGGTTTTCTTTGTATTTTTATATTTCATATTTCCATTCCTGATGTTAACTTAGTGTGCTATGTTTGTAAACTGCCTTGAATGCTAGGAGAAAAACAGTGTATAAAATTGTACATTAAAGCAAATATAATTGACAGCTTCAGTCATTTAGAATAGAGGTAGATAGTATGGCCAGTGTGGGAGGCTATATTACAAGCAGAGTTGTAGGCAGGACAGCTGCTTCTAATGTGGACATTTAACTGCTCTTTATATCATTTTAATGAAGGCAGCAGATGCTAAATCACAACTGATATTCACATTACAAAATTACACAGTAAGGATCTTGTTCAAGTGTCTTTAATATAAAAAGTTTAAGGTATTGTAGAATTTTCATATGACACCAAAAAACTTCATTTTAAAAATGAATCTAATCTTTTTTGAAATCTCCTTTTCTGTTCAACTCTCAAAAGTTTTTTTGAAAATCAGGTTGCAGAGATTCAACCTGAGCTGGTTTTCTACATTTGCAAACTCCTATACCATAATGTGGTGCATAATGTGTATTGCTTTCAAGCTTCTTACATGAATCTGTAAACTGCAGGTTGTTCATCCTATAAAATAACAGTTAAAACATAGCAATAAACATGGATTGTACAGAAAAAAACTTAAATAAGTTATATTTAATTTACACTGCTCTGATATCAAATAAAGGTACCTATTTAATTATTACTTATTGTTCTATTACATTGGTTAAAAGTACATTAAGTCTTTCTTCTTAAGTAAACTGAGCAAGTCACTAGCTGGTTTACACATTGCATTAGACCATGTGCCAGGTTCACACTGCACTAAACTGAAACCAAACAAGCCACATTTTATATAGCATGATGCATGAATATAACATTAAATGTTATTTTAAATATATGTTTTAATAAATCAAGGATTGCTCCCCCCCAATTGTCAGATTTTCAGTCTGCTGCAGTTGCTAATTCTATTACCTTCCGAAACTTCTGATTCTCCAGATATTCATCATCTTTTATGTAAAAGCCCACACATTTCCAAATAATAGGATTTCAGTTAAACTATCAAAATGAGCTTGACTGCATGAACTCAGCAAGCCAAATGAATGCTGTTACATTCCCATATGGGTGTGTGGTGCCCATGGCATTACTGTTTAAGGATGAATCATTTAGATGACCTCTACAGCTTTAAAAAGGTTTGGCTTGAGAGAAAAGAGTTCAGCCAGGACTCATAATCAGTGAGTATCTTTTTACAGCCAATTTTTTTTTTAAATGCATTTGAGCATAAAATATGATCAGTCTGTTTTACTGCAAGGTAGGCAAAGAATAACTATGTAACACCACAGATATCTCACATACTTCAAAAAGATAATCTGTTCTGTAAACCATTTAAGGATAGGCAGTTATCGGGTCTATATGTTACTAAAACTCTCATTGTGTTTATCTGTTTGTTCCCTCAAGTTAGCCCAAACGGTGCATTATATTGCAACAATTTTTGAATCAAGGTACTAAAATCCGCTGACTTAAAGAATGCGTAAAAAATCCAAGACGCATTACTTCTGTGGAATTGAAATTTCCACAATGTTCAGATCAGTTTTATTCACAAAGTTGTGGCCGTTGCAATGTCCCTGCAGTCACGCGATCGGGATTTCCGACGCTCCCTGCCAGCTTCCCACAAGTAAAGTCAATGGGGAAGCCGGCAGGAAGTCAGAAGTCGCTCCCGCTCCCACTGCTTTTTTGCCTGCCTGTGCTCATTCTCTTTATCTGTTTAGGTAAGTAAATATTGACTTATTATTGAAGTTCATTTGCCACTAGAATTATTTTTCTATTTATGATATACACTCTTAGATGATCACAGAATCATCCAGCACTGGGGTAAAAAAAAATATAGTCAGCCCAAAAGTTAATATTCATTCTGGTCACATCAGACTGTACTACCTTTCTCTCAAAGGATGACCCAATGGGTCACAGGGTTGTCTAGTTGCCATTAATATTTCTAATGCACAAAAATGTGGTTAGTTTACAACAGTCTAAAAAATAAAAGCCTGTATTGGAAATTATTTTTTAAAACTAATTTTGCATATGATAGCTTACCCATATGAGGCCAGGGAGCAAAAATAGAACAGAGAGGTTTCCGGTTATCATAAAAACAACATGGATATTTTCCAAAATGTCTCTAAATTCAGGAATATGTGTGAAGTGGCCATTTTCTGTTGCCAATGTGAAGGGTCTGAAAAAGAACAAACTATAAGGAAAAAGTTCATCCACATGAAAGTTCCTGTATTAACAAAAAGCACTCATAAGCTCTTTGTTCTGTTAAATGATTTGTTCCATTAGTTAATGCTATTTGAGACACTGTGGATCATCCTTCAAGATCCACAAACCTGTTAAGAAGCTTATGTTAAACAGTGTTTATAAATAATTAAGAGTAAAAATTGATAGGGGAAAGCCTTATTGTGGACTACCTTTGAATTATGTAAGTCATTGTACTTTCCTATTGAAAATGGGAGAGTGACTTATTTCAATCTTCCTCATTTCCTCTGTTATTTTTTAAAAAGTTGCCTCTACAGCATTTCTAGATTTATTTATTTCATTCAGTTTATATAGCATAGATAATATATTCAATTTATATAGTATAGATACAGTAAAGAAAGTCATGGCATATTAAGTAAGGATGACTATTTTCTCAGATCAGGAATCAAGATCTGTTAAAAAGTTCTCAGTGTAAAGCCTCTGCTGAGCTGCTTTTAACACAATTCACATATACATCTGTTTTGATCTTAAGGGCTGAGATAGTTGGTACTTGGTTAATTTTGATGGGACCGGCTGCCTGGGAGCTGGATTTTCAAACGGTCGCCTTATTCTTTTTGTGTTTCTTTCTTATTAGCATGAAAACCAAACAGAATACTTAGCTTGCTAAACAATACAATTTGAAAGAGTGAGGAATGGAACTTATGTATCCAAGAGTCTTTGGACCGACCCATTACTTCTAGTTCACTTCCCTAGCACACACCAGCATTGTTCAGTCACATTAGTGGCAGAAGGGATTCGACCTCATCTGTAAGCTATAGGAACAGTGGAGTGATCACATATGATTTGTTTTACAGTCCTGTGCTTTGTGAGTTCAGACACTATAGACTTAAAAAAAAAAAAAAAAGCTTAATATTACAGCTTGATGACTGGAGCCCAAAAGAAACACAGAAAACCCCAAAATATATTTGCAGTACTAGTTAAAAATATGCAGATTCTTCAACTTTTAGAAGAAATACTGCCTATTGTTTAGGGAGAAGGCAGCAGGAGGTGTCACTGCATGAAAGCAATCATATGAGAAGAGAACCAATAAAAGGTTAGGACAGATGTTGCCTAAATTATCAATATTCAGAAGCTGATTGGTATTTATTCCTTTGAACATATAACATGATGTGACAGCAACTTTGGTAGGGTGGCCATGATGGCTTTCAAATATTTGTATTGGAGGAATTCAGAAAGGAGAAAATAAAACAGATTTCCACAGATAATCTGATGAGAACAGACACTTGGTACAAGATAATATATATATCAAACAAGGAAACTAAATACAGATATGATAAAACAATTACCAAACCACAGCAATGTTATAGTCCTATAAATTAAATACGAAACTTCATTGGCTCTCAAATATATTATATTAATCACCATTAGCAAGTTTACAATGATAAATTGGAATTCAGTGACAACAGCCTAACCAATACACTAAAATTTTAAGTGCTTTATGATCAGTCTTGTTTTATTTTTAACCAGAGTTTTCCTATTAACCATCTTGTTTCAATTAACCCTCCAGCACATACAAAAGTACATTTGCTTCCTCCAACTAAAAAGAGCTGCTTCAAGTATTTGAGTTTAGACACAGAATCTTCATTATAGATTCATTGTATTGAAAAAGACTATTCTAAAATGAGATTAGGATAACAGACATTTTAATTCATAAACCATACCTCTTTAGTAGTAGTAGAAGCAATAGTGTGTGTGTGTGTGTGTGTTTGTATGCATGAGGTGACCCAGTGTAGTATTCATGCTGATATAAAAAGATGAAATTAAAAAAAAATTAACATTTTAGGAAGATCTAAGTTTTCTATGAAAATTAATTTTGCAAGATCCTCCATTTCATCTATAAGTCCCATTTCTTGTTCTTTTAAAATAAGAAATCCACATTTCTTTTTCTGTACATCTGTCCAACACTGGACCAAGGAAAACCTGTTTTAGCCAGTCCACATGATTAGATTATAAATATTTCAAAAAATGCAATCCACAGTTATCTGCATTCATTAATAAAACAATGAGATAAAATCTAGTAGTCATTTGGCACTTTTGGTAGATTGCTAAACAAAAGTCTACCTGTTGGCTCTATGATCAGACCATGACAACTGCAACAATAGTTCTAGCTATGTATGGTTGCGTTATTTTCCATCTGGAAGAGTTTCAATCAAGGAAAAGTTTTTTTGGTATTTACCCCTTTCTTCCCCCCACCATAATGCAGGATATTGCAAGATTAACCTGTTTGACAGCACTCCTATGTTCACCCTGCTATCTACTTTCTTCTTTTGTTTTATGATCCCAAGAAACAAGACCTTACTTTCATCTGTTTGTAAGTTACCAAATCTTAAGTGTTTTGTAAGATGGTGTACTTAAAAAAAAACAAAACCAATTCCTGTGTCATATTTATGTAATTGGATTAAAAACGAGCCTATTAATTAAAAAAAAAACAACCTTTAAAATTGGCTTGATGCTGTTATCTGCCCTTATAATCTAGGAAAGAGGCATGGATAAACAAAACGGAAGTACCGTATTTGCAGACCAAGATCATTGTCAAATGATATCCACCATGCAGAGAATTTAGTTATTTCATTTGTTGCTTACTAAGGAAATTGTAGGTGACTTTGTGCACATAAATTGCAGAAAAGTTACTCATATCATCTGATACTTTAACTTTATATATTCAATGTATTTTTCTTGATTTTAAAACAATGCATTTACATTTTTATATTTTCCTCAGCTGTTAGCATAGAAAGGGAAACTGGGTGTCTTGCAGAAAAGAGGAACAAACCATTTTGCTTATAAAATGCCCCCTTTTCAAGCTCTAATCAGTAGAAATAAGCAATCTACACCAAACATTGTGGATAGACTTCAAGTAGACATTCATATCCAATGTTAATACAAGTAAACATTCAGTAAAGGATGTTCAGATATACGTCTTTTTAACTACCATTGGAATGTGTCATTATCCAAATCGTTGTCAGGATTATTTGGTAGTAGGTCTTTTGTTATATACAAGGAAGTCAGAAATATCATGCCAAACATTACTGTCATCATACAGGTAGGTCATGGATGATTGTAGTGATGGTTGTAGAGTGTGCCGGTGATACTCAAAGAGCCAAAGAACAATCCCCCAAACCACAGCAGCAAAAAGTGGGAAGGGATCTTGTTTGGGCTGTGGGATATAACCTTTCTCCACTGCCAATCGAGACAAGCCAAACAGGATACGAGATAATAAATACATATTTATCTGTACAGGGAAAAAAATCAATTAAAATTAGGCAATAAACATATCAAGAAACGAGATTACTTGAAACAACTCTCAGTTTAGGAGATCATCAAGTTCTTTCATACTGAAATCACTCTAATTTTAACCAGCTTCCTTGGATTTTAATTTGGTTGAGCAACAATTTACATCTATTCCCAAATCTAGTGCTAGAAAAATCAGCTGTAAATGCAACCCTTTCCCAGTTGCAAGAAGACTGATTTCAAAACAAAGTACATCTCCTAAAGAGCATCCAAATTATACCTGGAATTTCTTTTTTTTTTTTATTCTACAGTGAAAAAACAAAGTACATCTCCTAAAGAGCATCCAAATTATACCTGGAATTTCTTTTTTTTTTTTATTCTACAGTGAAAAAACAAAGTACATCTCCTAAAGAGCATCCAAATTATACCTGGAATTTCTTTTTTTTTTTTATTCTACAGTGAAAAATCAACATGAATAGGCATTCTTCTGCCACAATTATCTACCACTGTGAAACATCAGTTGTAACTTTTCAAAGAAAAGTTTTTAATCCTGGAAGAAATATGCTTATCTAGATGGGTTTCCCATTTGAATAACAATACTTATATTTTGTTAAAAGCTTCCTTGAGTGATAGTGAGCAAATAGATAGTATTGTAGCAAGATCCTCTGGAGCAGTGCCTGCCCTCTGGAGCAGGGTTCTCCCTGAGATCCGGATGGCCCACACTCTGCTGTTGTTTAGAAGAGCTGTGAAAACCTGGCTCTTCACGCGGGCTTTTGGCAAGGGAGAGCGAGACTCCTTGCCTCATTCCAATTGCTGCCTTTTATCTTTATCTTTTATCTTTTACTGATTTTATTGTAATTTGATTGCTATGAGCCGCCCAGAGTAGTTGAGAGTTGGGTAGCATACAAGTTTAATAAATAATAATTATAATTATTATTATTATTATCATCATCATCGTCATCATCATCATCAATCCCTTTCTTATAGTTTGCTAGAGTGAAAGAAAGATGCAGAAGAATTGTGTTGCAGTTAAATTTACTACCCCATGTGTTGTACCTGAGGTACGTATAAAGAAATTAATAATGGAAGAATGTGATAGAACAATTTGGTTCCCTAATTTACTTAACTCACTTTTCATTAGATCAAATAGAACCATACATCTAACACAAACAACACAGTTGCTTACCTGGCTGTTAATATTATTATTTTCCCCAAACAACAACCAGCCCGCAATGCAGGCTGCCAGGAAAGACTGAAATGGAATCTTCTTTCCCTGCATTCGTGACTGCACAGCCATCAAACCCTTATAAGTGAATACAAAACAGGCCAGATTTTTGGAATGAATGTAGGTGGCTTGAACAATTGCTTTCAATTTCTCCATTAGGCTGTAGAGAAGAAACAACAGTTATTACACATAATATTATGTGCTTTAGAAAGTAGCAGTGATCTAAAGCCATACAACCCAAACTCTTTCTAATGACACTGATGTGGGCATGAATATGTTTTCTAGTCAATGTAGAGATATAGTCAAATGTTAATAAATTCTGCAGTTTGTGGCACTTTTAAAAACATTTATAGTTCTGTGTGGAGTGGGGAATTAAAATGCAAAGAGTGGCAGTTATGTTAAATCTTACATGAGTGTGTTGTTAAAATTATTCACAAAGCACTGTTGGGAATAATAAAACATCCTCACATTGGTAAGCTACATAACTGCTGCTGCTGCTGTTGTTGTTATATTTTTATCCCACTTTTTTTTTTACATATATATTTTTTAGTCAACTCAACCGGTAAACATGCTTAATACACTTGCCTCCTATTTTCCCCATAACAACCACTCTGTGAGGTTGGTTGGGCTGAGAGAGAGAGACTGGCCCAAGGTCAGCCAGCCATGTTTCATGCCTAAGGGAGGCCTAGAACACATAGTCTCCTGGTTTCTAGACAAGCACCTTAACTAATATACCAAATTGGCTCAGTTCAGGCCACAGCTAATAGAACTACATTTATTTTTAAGTTGTAAATCAGTGATTGCATTCTGAAACTCCTTTTAAAGTTTCTTATTTTCAGAGATAGCCATTTTAAATGTGACTTAAGAAATTAAAGGGTATTTTTGTTGGTTTCTGAATACTGCCCTGTTGTCCATTTATTTTGCAATATTTTGGCTGATGTATGCATTTCTTTATCAACATTTTCATCCTGCTTTTTCATAATTAAAAATCCCAAAGAAGGTAATTCTACTGATAGCTACTAGCTGAATCCTATGTATATTTAATCAGGAGAATACCTCTAAATTAATGAGTCTTCAACTACACAACCACATTAAACAATGGATAGGATTGCGATGTTACTTCTATGTTAAGATAGGTTAGCGTATAGGTTGGCTGCCTAAATTGCATTGGACATAGTGGGACTTGCTTGTGAATACATATGCAGAATTATGTTGTTGTATTGCTATCATAATCCCACCTTCAGTTCCTACAAAATTTTGTCTCTACGGGTAAATATCCATAAGATAGCATATTATTGGTAGTTTTATTTAAGTAAAAAAGGGAAAAGAATATTATTAATCTAATACAAGACAACCTCCTTTTCAGCTCTCCCTCTATTCTAATATATTCAATTCAGTGAAAAACATACACAAAGAACTGGAAAGCATGCAGAGAAGAAATCACAACATGCTCAAAAGACTTTTTTTTAAAAAAAGGATACACACAAAAAGGTAGGCTTCTTGAACTCCTATGGCTTTATTTTATAAGTGACAAAGAGAGACACTCTGAGAAATTTACCTTCCACTTTTGAAGAGAAATGTCATTACCAAAGCATGAGGGGCGCGGATTTTCACTCCATAACTGCCAAAAATAAATAAAATGCATACAAAGGTCTGTAAAATAATGTTTTAATATGCTTTTGAATGCAATTATTGATTTATGTAAGTTGAAAACAGCAGAATGTGGGGATACAGTTCTTGGATGACAAATCAGTATCTTTCTCAACTCCTCTGGCATGTACATAGGGATATAAGTTGCATAAATCAGTTGGGTTTGTTCTGCACTTGGAGGATTATCATGTTTGCCTAACATGGTACACAAATCTGAACACTCAGCTTTAAAGTATCACTATTACAACATTTTTGATGTTCTGAAACCTCTTGCTCACTTTTCACAGCTTTGAATACTCATTTATTATTATCATTGGGAAAATGATACCTAATATTTTGCAAATATGAAAGTGGCAAGAACAGTCCATAAGAGAACTAAAGAGTAAGGCTAGTTTGTTTAGAAGTACCCAGTAGTAGAAAAGAAAACTTATTTTAACACCAGAGATGATTTTAAAATATCTAGCCAAAATGCTGATAGGTAATTACTAAACAATGTATAGAATAACAATGGGTTTATTATATGGACAGCTGAATGAATGGATTTTGGAGATATCCACAAGGGGAAAACAAAAACAGATTTAGCAGCAAGCATCAAGTCTAAATGATTAAAAATGAAATCCAGGCATACCCAGACATTAGAAGGCATTAGCTAAGCCCACCGCTGTTCTGTAGGCTTATGTATGGTTTTACATTAAGTGTTTTAGCGTAATACAGTATATGCTGAACAAATACTGTCCTGTATTGATATTCTAAAAAGAAATGGAAACTCAATCTAGTAGCAGACATATTATTGCTTCTTCGGTAATACTTCTTTGAGGACAACCATGAGAATTTTGGTACCACCTCAAGTGAAATGCAGATCAAACATAAGAAGCAAACTTATTGATATCTAAATAGGGCTTAGTAATCAGAACCAGCCAGGGCTGACAGTCTGATCTGTCATTCAACCTAGTTGCATCTACAATTTGAAAAGCTGCTATTTCCAGAAGAGTGGGAGAACTTGTCATTAGACTGAGATCTTATGACCGCACACTCAGAACGCCACTTAAACCAATAAAACAAAACAAACCAGCAAAAAGGGTTCAGCTGCTATTATTCTCTCACCAAGCAGACACTACGAGGCAATCTATTGCAGCACCCCCCAAAGCGGGAGCTGTAAAGAAAGTCAGAGAGGCCCCAGCCGAGAGCGGTCAAGCGCAAATCTGTTTCCTCCCACCAAATTCTTAGTAAAATGCCCGCTCAGCTTCGTAAATGCTTAGTAAATGCTCGCCCGTGGTCGCCAAGAGGATTCTTTGGCGCTAGTTTCGGGGCAGAAACGCGGAAGAAACAGGGTCCCCAGCCCAAACTTACACCGCTCCGTTGCGGAAGCCCTTGAGTACCGCCAGCGCAGCCTGGTGTCTCCGCTGCTGCAAGAGGGAATTGACGGTATAGAGCAAAGTCTTGAGTATCGTCTCGTCACCCATGGCCTCAAAGTTGACACTCGCGATCCCAGCAGCCGCTCAACCCGAAGAAATGATTTGCCTGGAACACAAAAGGCTTGGAAACAGAGCTTCAGGAAATAATGTCCCGGCGGAAAGCCAACCCGTGAACTTTAGTTCCGCTCTAGTTTGATAAGCGCGCGAGCGGACTTAAGTCATAGAGAAAGAAAAATGTACCGTAATTATAACTCTTTCCTCTCCCGGCTACTCAAGCCGAAACAGCTTCTCTGAGTGGAACAAGAACAAGTGCAAGTCTTTAATGTTGGCTTGAGAAAGACTTTCAAGCAAAATGTGTTCTAACAGAGGGTGGAGTGAGATCCTAAATCCCTTCCAGGTTTGGAGTGCCCTCCAGTGGATTAATCACTATTAGTTTATAAATTTGTCAGTCTGATAAAAAGTCTTTTAGCAGTCTTGACTATCAGTCAAAAGGCATTATTCAGCTATTCCTTGCTTTCTGATAAAACAGAGGAAGTAATGTGAAAATATAAAAGGGTTACAATTTCAACACATTATTTAGATCTTGCCTAAAATTCAATGGATGAGGCAGAGGAATTGCACAAAGTTCTTTATAGAGGTATGGAAAGAAAATGTTAAAATGTTCTGATTCAGGAGATCATCAATCACTGACAGAATAGATATGTAAGTTTTATGACAGTGAAAATGAGAAGTGTTAATGGTGAGTATGCTTTTGTGTGTTCTGTCTAGTATTTTTGAGAACGGCAACTTTCTGTTTCTAGTATCCTATAATGCAATTGTTCATGTTTACATGTATATTTAAATGTTATAATTTGAAATTGTTTCATTATCACAATATCTCATATCAAAATAATTAAGTTTCAAAGTTTAACACTATCTCTGACAGAAAACTATGAAAAGTGTTAATAGCCAGACTGGGACATGAACTCCAATGTTAGAGATACAGTTTGTACAAAACTGCAAGTAGAATATCTAGGTTGGGTTTATACATCATGCTGAGCCATAACAGAGTTTGCTTAGTTTGGGCTTGGAATGATCTGTGAACTCAGTCAAGCGTTGTTTATTCAATAACCATAGTAAAACAAACCATGACTTAGCAGAATGAGTGAAGCTGTCCAATAAAAGAAGTCAAGAATGTGTTGTTTATACTTTTCAATGAAGTCCAGTTGAAATAAGCCACATTTATTTTGGAGTAAGTTATGATTCAAGTCAGATATAAATCCGTTGATAGATATGCATGAAGGATGTCAGTTATATTTTAAACGGAAATTTATACATACCTTATTTCCAGTGGTGGTCCATGCCCCAGTTAAATCTTTTGATATTGCAAAGGCATTGTTCTTTCGTTTGTAGACACAGCCCTACCACTATACAAATACAGTAATATTGAGATACTTATTTTGAATCTCCAATACAGACATCAGAGAACATCAGAGGAAAATAATGCTAAAGCCGAAAGAGTTGAAGAGATGATACTGAGGTTGGTCACTTAACTAGTTTCCATTTTCTGTTGATTTTAAGTGCAAAGTATGTAAACTCTAAGTACTTAACTTTAATCTGTTTTGATATATTGCACAAAGTACAAAATTGGTATCTAGTATCTATCATCAACATTATGACTAAGGAAGTTATGAGGTCAATGGCCAAGCCTTAAGGAGAACCAATCACATCATCCTAGTAGTTCCAGATGGAAAATTCCTATTGTGTATGTATGTATGTATGTAAAAAAGAAGCAAGGCTTCAATCACAAGGTCACAACTGCCATCTTGACTTTTTTGACCCCTCCTTGATGGCCGTGCACCATTTGACCAGGGGTGCCTAAACTTTTGCATGCAACTGTGCTAGTGCTATAATGGAAATATGCTGAGGGGGTGAGCTACTTTCACTATTCTTCTATCTGACACACAGCTTTCTTGGACATTGGGTTTCTATAGGAACAAAAGGGTTGGTTACCTCTTTTTCCATATTGCTTTCAACAACACCACATCACTGATGCAAGTGGTTCTAATTATTTAAGCCATTTTGTGCTTTAGTGAAGATTACCAAGAATAGAATCTCCCCTCACCATCTTGTCTTACAATTGGGGATGGTGAAGAGAAACAGAATAGAAAGGCTGGAGGAAAAAAAATGAAGGGAGCATAGACTGGACGAAATGGAAGATGACCTAGTCATGGCAGAACAGACCTAGCAGTCCAAGTTCTTATGGCTCTGATATGACTAGAATTGAGAGAGTAGGCAGCATATAAATCAAAGTAATAAATGATAATAAATAAATATATATATGCACACCCCTCTCTATCTCTATTTTTATCTCAGAATTCTATGGCCAAGGATTTTTGTTCGTAGAGCGTAGACAGTTTCACTGAACTTCATAGGGTCTCTTGGTCATAAGGCTGAATTACCTTATGGATTTAAGTGGAGAAATGATCATGCCTGCCCTCTGAAAGATCACAAGAGTATTTGTTAACAGTTCCTGCTGGCTCAATACGTCTTGATCTAGTATAAGTGATACCAGCTGCAACATCAAAATATAGTCTTTGCTTCTATAGGATGTATTTCCATTTCTGGGAGGGAGTCAGCCTGCCTTCTGATTTTCATCAATGTTATTTGCAGAGGTGGTTTCTCCGTTGCTCCTTAATACTTGGATTTCTTTTCAAAGCTGGCTCCCTTCCTACAGATGCCACTGTAGAGGTTGCATATGGTATTATTAACATTCTTCATGTGGAACATTTTCCTAAAGCGGTTCTGTCACATCATGGGCTCCATAACTGAGAAGTAGGCAATTTTGGGGGGATGGTGATCATATCTGATATTTTGAGAACATGTTCTGGGTGCTCTCAGAAAATTACTCCCATAATTATAGTCTCATTGGTTTTGGTTGGGGCTTAATGTCAGGGGAGTCTGATTCCTTAAAAGGCAGAAGTCAGGCAGAAAGTGGCAACACAACTCCATTATCCCACACCAGCCTTTGGTGGCTAAATCTGAACATTAATTAACAAAACAGACATGCCTTATATTATCTTCTGCTGCAATAGCCTTTAGGCTGCACATAAGTCCAGCTGAATGCACTTCCGAATCCATAGTTGGATAATGCCTTTATTGGGACCAATAAAAAAGGCACAAAACATTTATTTATTAAACCAATTTATATAGCCACCCATCTCACCACAGGGGACTCCGGGCGGCGGACAACAAAGCATCACGGAAACATTCAGGTTCTCCAAATGTATGGGTCAGGCACGATGTTGCAAAAAGGAGAGATGGATGGAGAGGCACAGAAGTCCCCAAAATCTGAACAGATGGTCCAGACGTGAGATCTGCTGTTCAAAGTCAGTCTGAAATGAAGTTTGATGTTGGTGGGCAATATCACAGATGCAACTTTTTCTCTTGCACACAGGGGCAAAGAACAAGGTTGTCCCCAAACTCAGCTCTCAAAGTACATTGTTTTCCCTCTACTCTTTTTGCCATAGGCAAATCTCACGAGTTCCTGAAGAAACTCTGGGATTTCTACTAGTCGAATTAAAAGATAATTTCGGTTCTTTCCTCCCCCACTCTTAAACCGAGTGACAAAGCGGGACACCCCACCAAAAAGACACCTCGCTAAGATACGGCCAGGAGGCTCCGCCCCTTCCAGCTAGGCACCGGCTGCCCCACAGCAAGGCTATTCCCTGAGCCAGCCTCCCCTCCCCACCTCGTCGCCTCGCGCTCCCCCTAGCGGCGGAGCGTCCCTCCCTCGTCTTCCCACAATGCCCGTTTAGGTTGCTGTGCCGTGGCTGCCTCAGCTCCAAGATGGCGCAGGCGATATTCGAGGCGCTGGAAGGTATATCTCGGGGAGCCGGGCGGGTTGAGGCCTCGCGTCGGGGAGTCTATTAAAAAAAAAAAAAAGCGCCGGTGCTCTTCCCTTCTGGGGCCCCCCCCCCCCCCCGCCCCGCACTGGCGAGGGGACAGGGGGGGGGGGGGGGGCC